TCCCCCTACCACACTGCCGCTTCTTCTCAAGTTGGGGGCCACGAGCACTTATGTTGTCAAGCTTAATGTGAAAGCTAAATAACAAACATGCTGGTTCTGTTAGTGGTGTAATGGGATAGTTGAAAACCTTTCAATCAAGCAATTAACCCTGACCCCTGACCTTGCGTTTCCAATGTGATTGACAAAAAACAATCTGCTTAAGATGAGCTATTTAATGAAAGTCACACAAGTGTGGGTTGTCATTGTCATTCAGAAGCACCAGTCAGAAATATTTATCCAGCGCATTTATGGGATGCCAATCAATTTAAAAATCTGGCCAGGACAGACACCAGCTGTCTCTTTTCAAAGTGCTATCCAGGCAGGTCTACACCAGACACAACATTGTTTATTGTGCCACTGCACAACAGACTACCCCCTCAGGGATCAACATCGTAGAAAAGTGTAGTGTGAATGAAATCGTAATTTATTTTAAGTTACATTTATTAGTGGCGGCAATGCCAAGATGCTATGAGTCTTAAAATGTCATCTACTATCCACCCATCCATCCATCCACCCAGATCTTCAATACCGCTTATCCTCACTGAGGTGGTGATTGTCCTGCAACCGATAGTAACACCCTTAACTAGTTGCCATCCATTTTTAGGCACGTATACATTTTCTTTGTTTGAAAATATTGTACTTTGTAGCTTCATTCTTTACCTCATGTTGGTTTTTATAGCCACTATAAAAGCCATTAGCCACAATATTATAGTCGTTATAAAAGTTAAAAAAAAATCACCAGGGTTCATCGTGTACTTAGCAGGAACCTACTTTCAGAAATGATTTTGCCAACTAGCCTGAATTTTTTTATCCAAGGTTTGGCTCTCACAAAGTAAAAAGATGCAATCAAAGAAGTAATACATACATTAAAGAATTCTCTCTCTCTCTCTCTCTCTCTCTCTCTCTCTCCCAGCTGGATGTACTGGTGATATACTGTAGCTGTTAGCATGTCTAACACACAGTTCTGAAGCTCTAGTTTCGAGTCTTGACTCAGCCTTCATGTATGTATTTTGTACATTTTCTTTGCGCTTCTGTGGGTTTTATTAGAATACTCCGGTTTCCACCAACATCCATTCATCCCTCCATTTCCTAATCCGCTTATCCTCACAAGGGTCGCAGGGCGTGCTGGAGCCTATCCGAGCTGTCTTCGGGCAGTAGGCGGTGTGCTTCCACCAACAATTGGAAAAAAAAAAAAGCATGTGAGGTAAATTGAAGAACTAAAATTGCTTATGGTGTGAATGTGAGAGTGAATGCTTGTTGGACGATATGCAACCTGCCTTTGGCTGGCAACCAGTCCTGGGGGTTGGATTGACTCCTGCTCACTGGTGACCCTTTGAGGACAATTGGTATAGAGAAGTCGTACATGCACACGCACACACACTTTATTGCATGCATTGTGCATAGCAGGAGCATACAGTAGTGTCCCAGCTACTTTCTTCCCTCTCTTTCCCACAATATTTGATGTTCTCCAGAGTGGCAAGTGGATTAAATGAATACATAAATAAATGATGAAATGAATACATAAATAAATGAATTAATAAATGTTTAAATGCAAGAAATACATTTATGCACTCACTGAGTGGCACGGGTGAAAAGTCTCAAGTGACATGTGAAAAGCCTACTGTTGATGGAAGTGGATGACAAATTTAATAGACATGCAAAGCAACAGAGCACATACCATTACACAGGGTCCTCGGTTTTCAGTGGTACTCTCAAAGTTACTTTATTTTTGGCATTATCATTCTCTCTGAAGTATAAATCAAAATTTTGGGGGGAAGTATATTTTAGAAAAACCGAGGCCAAGATTGGTAGAGCTCAGACTCGCACCCAAAAATCACAGTTCCTAATCGTGAGTTCAGAAATAACCTCAGAACGTGCACTGCTTCACTCCGACCGTTTGGGAACTCTGACTCTTGTTCAAATGTGCCGTTCAGTTTTTCAAAGTACCACAACAAAGGAGTGCCGGAGCCCAGTGCATCATTCAGATGGAAACAGTTCAAGCGTAAGCCGCTGATTGGTTTTTAACATCGGCTGTGTTCTGTAATTGATGGGAGAGGAGTGCACACACACACTATCAGAGTGGTGTTAGGGCGTCCGAGTGACATGTGGTATGTGGTTAGTGTTGGGCGTTGTTGGTATTTGGACGATTCCAGTTCTTCGATTCGATTCTGGGTTCCTAACAATTCTCAATTCTGATTCTTAATGAATAAGTACATAAATAAGGGAGCTAACCAGATTCATTTTTGGACAAATGATAGGAAGTTACTCTATCCGTTGTTTAACTTCATGAACTTTTTACTGTTTGTGAATTTACTATGATTTACTTAGTCTTCAACCAGTCTATCAATTTTTCACAAGAGCTTTATTTTTCAGAACCTCAAGACAATACAATGCAGTCGTTACGTAAAGCATGAAACTGAACACCGAATGATGGAATAACCTACTGTTGTCTTTCTCTTGAAAGGAAAAAAAAAGACAAACACAAAGCTACATTTGATGGGCCAACAAGGAAACTGTATCTAATCTAAACAACGTGTACCATATACTGTATGTGTATATGTTTGTATATCCTGCAACTGTGTACACTAGGGCCTGGTGGTCCAGTGGTTAGCGCATCAACCTCACAGTGCAAATGTACCGGGTTAGGATTATCCCAGCTCTGGCCTCCCTGTGTGGAGTTTGCATGTTCTCCCCGGGCCTGCGTGGGTTTTCTCCGGGTACTCCGATTTCCTCCCACATTCCAAAAACATGCATGGCAGGCTGATTGAACACTCTAAATTGTCCATAGGTGTGAGTGTGAGCGCGGATGGTTGTTCGTCTCTGTGTGCCCTGCGATTGGTTGGCAACCGGTTCAGGGTGTCCCCCACCTACTGCCCGAAGACAGCTGGGATAGGCTCCAGCACGCCCCGCGGCCCTCGTGAGGATAAGCGGATCGGAAAATTGATGGATCGATTGTACTGGGTTCAATTTCAGCTTCGGCCCTCCTGTGTGTAGTTTGCATGTTCTCCCCAGGCCTGCGTGGGTTTTCTCCGGGTACTCCGATTTCCTCCCACATTCCAAAAACATGCATGGCAGGCTGATTGAACACTCTAAATTGTCCCGAGGTGTGAGTGTGAGCGCGGATGGTTGTTCGTCTCTGTGTGCCCAGCGATTGGTTGGCAACTGGTTCAGGGTGTCCCCCACCTACTGCCCAAAGACAGCTGGGATAGGCTCCTGCACTCCCCGCGACCCTTGTGTGGATAAAGCAGATCGAAAAATGAATGAATGAATAAATGTGTACACTAAAAGCTAAATACAGTCATAGTTGGGCATGTGCATTTATGTGTTGACGCAGGAGATCCGCAGGATATGCCCGACGAATGTCCCAAGTTCTCGCTGCGGCCAGCACGTGCACGGTGCAGGTGCCCGGTGGAGAGCGAGCGGTCAGTGGGTATGAGCTGCTGTGCACTCGCGTAGGAGATGTGGCGGCGGAGGGTGTTGCGCGCACACATTCTCTATCGGTCCCTGTTCGTTTGTGCTTCTTCCGCACGGCTAACTACAGATTGAATTTTAGCACCGACATTTTCTGGCACCTTCCGGGAAAACCGGAATGTTAGTGCCGGTTCCACTCGAAACTCATTTATCAAGGGCCAACCCCATCTATGGCCTTTACAAAAATTTTCTGGAGGGCATGTTGGGTAGTACACAATAGGTATTTGTGAAGATTTGGTCCTCAATGTTTGTTTTTTTTTGCTTTGCACTACTTTTATTTTTATATACAGTATTAAGTAGTCTTGAAACTGTCATGTTGCGTGATGGTAGAGGACCCAAAAAGCATGCAGGCAGGAGAAGCAAGGTAGAGTGAACAAAATGCATTCACAAAAAACACTTGCAGGGTTACACTGGTAAAACTAAATCAAAAACACAAACAAAGTCCTGAAGACCACAAGAAACCAAAGTAACAAACAAACAAAAAAACTATGATAGAACAAAAATCCATGACAGTAACACAATGATCTGACCCGAAAGGTTGGCGTGGCAGTGCTTTTGTAAAGTGTCCTTGGGCGTTTTGAAAGGCGCTTATAATTTAAATGTATAATTATTATTATTATTATTCGTCTCTGTGTGCCCTGCGATTGGCTGGCAACCGATTCAGGGTGTCCCCCGCCTACTGCCCGAAGACGGCTGGGATAGGCTCCAGCACCCCCCGCGACCCTAGTGAGGATCAAGCGGTTCGGAAAATGAATGAATGAAATGAATGAAAGAAAAAAACTAATGACATGATGACCAACAGGCGTGCCGCTGTTGGAGAAGCCCTCTAATGCCACCTGTTGGTCACAAACAGAACAATCA